ATGACTAGGGGTGGGCGAGAGGGACATCCACCCTGGGTGCCAAGTTAGGAAGTGTACAAGAATTGCCCCCCACCCCTGTGGAGTCTGCACCCTGGAAGCAAGAGCAGCTCCACAGCTTACCCATGCCGGAAGCTCCAAAACATTCCTTGACTGCTGCTGCTGCTTTAAGAGCAACAGCTGGGGTGGGCAAAGTATTCAGCAACAGCTCAGCCAGGAGCTGTTTCAGAGTTCCTGGCATGGGTAAGACTGATGCTCCAGCCCCCATGCTCTCTCAGGTGCCCCTCAACCTTGGAAGTGTGCACCATCCCAGCCCCTGCTCTCAGAACCACACCCCCTCCCCACTCTCTGTCAGGGTTTGCTCTGGGTGACAGCTCTACCTGTTACACCACTGTCCTCTGCCCTATTGTTCTGGCAGTAAGGTAGTTTCTTCTGATATTACATCGAAACCTGCTTTGCTGCACTTTAAACCCATTGCTTCAGGTTTGGCCCTCTGCAGCAAAGAGGAATAGTTGATCTCCCTTCTCTTTATAGCAGCCTTTTGAGTCATTGAAAACTGCTGTCATGTTCTCCCTTAATCTCCTTTATGCCAAACTACTTCTCTCAACCTTTCCTGGTTCAACTTGCATTCCAACCCTTTGATCAGCTTTGCTGCTGGCCTCTATAACCTCTACAGTTTCTTCACATCTTTCTTAAATTGTAAAGCACAGCTTCTAGAGTGCTGCCTATGCTCCAGGGCTCTGGGCTCTTACATTGTGGACCCCAGAACTGCATACAAAACACTAGCTAAGCAGAGTGGTATTTTCACTCCCCAGATCTTTCTCAGCAACACTGCTGCCTAGCCAGTCATTCAATTGCATGATTATGCATTCATTTTTTCTCCCTTGTGTGTAGCACCTGACATTTGCCTTGGCTGAATTTCATTGTTTGTCTAGCACCCAGTTCTCCAATCTATCCAGACCTTTTGAATTGAGATCCTATCCTCCAAAGTGTTTGCAAGCCCTCCCAGTTTTGTTTGTTTGTCTGTATTTGGCTGGGTTTTACCTTGCATTTCCATGGTGATACCACATATATGAATGGTAAGGAACAGTAAAGCAGGGGGCTGAGAGTCCTAACTGGTGCCCAAATGTAGTGAATATGCTGTAGCAACCAGGCCATTTGGGCCAGGGGACAGTGTAGTGCATGGCTTATACTTGAGACCTGGTTTCCATTCCTGCTCTAGGTCTCTTATCTCACTCTAGTTTCAGAACTGACATAATGAAGCAAACTCAAACAGAGCCATAACTGGCCCGTACAGCATCCTAGATGGTGGTGGTACACAGTACAGGCCCAGCTGCTGGAGGTTTGCTGCTGCAGAGGGGATGTCACCTCCCCTTTTTTGCCACCAATATATGCATTGAGTGGCCATTAAAACATTGATTTTTGGCAGCAGTGTGCCTCTGGCCACTGCTTCTACACCATATACCACCACTGCTGCTCTTCCCTCTCTGTTACCAGAGCTGCTGCAGGGAAGGTACAGGATGTTGTGGTGTGGAGGACTGCAGGAAACAAGAGACCGAGGCTCCTCACTAGGTCCATTCTGGCACCCCTCTGGCCCCCTAGCTTGTGCCCTGCTTGCCTACCTGTTGGTATGCTACTAAACTCAAGGCTGACATTTCAGTGCTTATTACTTAGCTTTGTATATTAGGTATTGGAAACAAAAACATTATTTCTCTGGCATTCGCAGAAAATCTTTGAGCACAGTGAAGGAGTTGTAATCATAGGTTTAAATTTAATAAACATCAGAAAAAGTTAATGGCGCATTCTGGGAACCATACCAATAAATATTACTATGTCAGCATCTGAGTTCAGGAAAGGTTGCAGGTTCTTTCTGCTTAATTGTATACTGTAGTTGCTGGCTGAGAACTTTCTGATGGTGGCCAAGTTATTACAGGGATGGTCCAACTTGATTGACCAGGACTAGTGTGGTAGAGGGGCTTAGGCACCTCCTAAATTTAAATTATTTGACTGTGGTGACTGGAAGTCAAATTTAAATTATTGGACTGGGAGTTGTGAGAAGGAATTTAAATGTATGGAAATAACATCAGGGAAATAACACCATGACAGAAACACAGCAGAATTAACTGCTTTATTAAAATCATCTACCAGTAAGTTATAGGAAAGAGCTGATCAGTAAGGTAAATCAGGAACTTTGCTCTGCAACTATAACTGGCTGGTTCTAACCTTTTCCTAAGTGACCTTATTACAGAGAAATTAGCTTTTGAATTGAAACAGGGTGGTTAGAGGGAATATATGGTCAGAATTGACTGAAGAGTTTAATAAACTGGTAAGTTCCTTTGTGTGTCTTTTGCCAGCAGGGGCCTTGTTGCTGCCTTTTTCTCTGACTCCTAGATATGCTAAGAAAGCCCTGGAGCACGGGCAGCACTCTAGTAGCAGGTTAAAACAGCAGAGGGCAAAAATTCTGTATCCTTTTCTGTCATTCCATCTCTTACTCTCATACAAGTGCAAACCAGGCTGTTGCAATCATCATGGTATTCACTGCAATCACACCATCACAATAAGTACAGTCAGAATAAATCAATATGAATCTAAATCAGTTCCTGCCCAGTGGTGTATCATATAGATTTAATAGCTGTGTAAGGTCTGATGTATGAATGTGCCTTCTGGGCTTGGCTTTATGAACGTGGGATTGAAATAGCCAGCTGTGCTGGGATGAGAGCACCCAGCAAAGGCTGAAACTCAGCTCTGAAGCAGAGCACAGTGTTTGGCTATTTGGTATTTGGTTCTTGGTGGGATATTAAGAGTCCATTAGAGCTGTTTAAATGCCAATAGGCTCTGTGGTCAGAGAAAAAGAAACGGTCTTTCACTCTGAGGAGCTCACAAACTAAAAGGGAAAGGGCGGGGAAACAGAAAGAACATAGAATCAGCATGCTCCAGGTGGGTGATTTGCTATTGCTTAATGGGTTGACTTAAAAAATAGATACAGTTGCTTAATGTTTTGTATAGCATGTTACACAAAAATTATCTCCAGCTGCCCCTCAGAATTGTCATTGGCAGGGTAGGCATAATGGCAGATGTTAGTTGTGAGGAAGGATTTGAATGTGAGTAGCCATGGGAACCAGTTTAGGAAAAACATCCTGTGATGAGGGGTATGGATTAAAATACTGACGTGTTTGTGAGAGAAGGAAGCATGTAGGATGCAGTTTGTTGGACAAACTATTATGATTCAAATTAATATTTCTGTCTTTGCTGAAGCTGTGGCCTTTCCACTGATAATAAATGGGAACTCAGACCACTTGGGGGTTCAGATTTGTTGGGGATGATTTTTATATTTAAGACCCATGCCATAATATGAAGCAGCTAGGACTGCAGTATATCAGGCTGAATTCCTATTGCGTATCTACTTAAGCTAGCATCTCTTAACAAAATGGAAAGCCACTGCCGTCTCACAGTTTATGTTCTACCAGGATCCTATCCTCTTTGCTTCATGCCCTGTCTGACCATCACAATTGTTTTCAGATCCCTACCTCCATCGTCTTATCTTCCATAAATCAGGATTTGCCTTCAACAATTCACAGCTGGCTGGAATGCTTGGCTCTCACTCTGCAGTCCTGTGAATTCAGTGTCTGTCACCTGGCAGTAGCCCAGTTTTGGAATGACAGGCAGGGCAGATTGGAGACCAGGCAATTGCCTCCTAGTCTGAGTGATATTTTAATGAGCACAGAAAGGTGACGGAGAGGGGAGCTTCTCACTGGAATGACTGGCAGGCTTGTTCTCAGGCTCAAAGCCCTAATAGATCATTTTTTGGCCTCACTCCAGCAGAATTGCAGAGCTGGAAAATCTTGTTAGGTCCTAACTTATTCATCCTTCATAGGAGCAAGACAAGTTTTTTCTCTATGGTGTGTCTTCCAGTTTTAAATGGCTCAGTCATGGGCTTCTTCCTCTTCCTTGGATTTAATTCCACTGTCTTTCTTTCCACACTTGGGGAGTTTTACGTATATTAATTTTACACCTTCCTTTTCTCAATTTATTTTCTCCAATGTTCCTTGCTTTTTGCCTCCCTAAACAATCACTCCCCCTCCTACTTCACCACATCCTCATACCCATAGGTGACACATAGGAGGGACACGGGTTGGGGGGCACATGCCTCCCCTGAGATTGGTTGCCGCTGGCTTCTGCAGGCAGTCACCACTTCCCCCCCCGCCCCCTTGTCACCAACGTGGCCACTGGCATCTGTGGGCAATCCCTGATTGCCACTCCCCGAAAAACCTTCAATCTGCCTAACTGAGTGTACCAACTCCCCTGGCTTCCCCCTACTATTCTTTTTGAAAAAGGCAGTGCAGTATCAGGCAGTGACATCTGCATGGGAACCACTGTCTCTCCCTATTCTTCAGCTGCATTTCAGTAACATAATACAAGGCTTGTGCAGGGCTATGTTTCTTCCTTAGTCCTATAAACAAAAGCATTACTAAAGGGAACCCTTTCAGAGTCCCAGGAAGCCCTGAGATTTTTGTGGGCAGCACAGCTCCGTGTAGATCAGGGGCGGGCAATTATTTCAGGCAGAGGGCGGCTTACTGAGTTTCAGCAAGCCATCAAGGGCCGCATGACAGGCAGCCCAGGGCAGATTAATATTAATATTCTAAATTTTTTAGGGGCCCCGTGGGCCAGATAGAATGGCTTGGCGGGCCACATTTTGCCCACCCTGATGTAGATGGTCCAGTAAAGGCAGCCAGAGTCTCACAAAAAAAAGGGGTGGGGAGTGGCTAGGGCTTTGAGTACAAGATAAACAGCTCCAGGTCTCACTAGGGCACCTGTGTAAGGTTATGGGATCTGAACTGAGCCATGGCCCCATGACTCAGTGTTTCTGTCTTCATACACACTGAGCAGAGAAGGAACTCAGGAATTTTTAAAGCCTGACATGAACCAAGACAGTTGAGACACCAGTTATCGCCTGGTATGAGTTGAAAATACATCAGCTGAAATGTGCTGCCTTTTTTACAGATATGATGATGGCCCTGAAAGCTCAGCTCCTGATTGGTGTCCTCTACTATGTAACCTGTTTCCTTGTGTATGGCTTCCCCACTGACCCTGGGACTGAGTTCCGCTCTGCATTCTCTGTGGCTAGAACCAGCAGCATGGAAGGGAGCTCTGAGATGGTCATCACCTTTGACAAGGTCTACGTGAACATCGGTAATGACTTTGACCCCAAGACTGGGATGTTCAGGTGTCGAATACCTGGGGCCTATTACTTCTCCTTCACTGTTGGGAAATACCCCAAGAAAAACTTGTCTGTCATGCTGATGAGAAACAAGAACGAGGTGCAAGTAATCGTGTATGATGAGCATCATCGCAAGGAACGGAAGGTGGCCAGCCAGAGTGCCATGCTGCAATTGGACTATGGTGACACAGTCTGGCTGCGTTTACATGGAGACCCCAAATATGCCCTCTACAGCAATGCAGGCCCCTACACAACTTTCAATGGTTATCTCATTTATCCAGACACCTCTTCCTACTTCCGAAACAGTGTAACCTCTCAGGAGCTGGGAGGAGGTGCAGAGCAACTTCATCGTGCCATTCAGCAACTTCCAGGAGAGCAGAATGAAGCCTCAAAAGTACACCTGCTGTCTGATGAACCAACAAGAGAACAAGACCCCCGCTCTGCATTTTCTGTTGCCCGCACACAAAGCCTTTTGGGGACAGATGAGAAACAGACCCAGCATGAGCCAATCACGTTTGACACAGAGTTTGTGAACATTGGGAAGGATTTCAATTCCTCAAGTGGCATCTTCTTGTGCCGTGTGCCTGGTGCATATTATTTCTCTTTCACCATTGGCAAAATGCCTTTTAAGACCATGTCAGTGAAACTGATGAAGAACCACAATGAAGTTCAGGCTATGATCTATGATGACAACCACTCCAAGAGGCGAGAGATGCAAAGCCAGAGCATCATGCTGCCCCTGCACTATGGAGACACCATCTGGCTATATAGCCACCAGCATGATGGCTATGGTGCCTACAGCAACCATGGCAAATACATCACTTTCACAGGCTTCCTGATCTATCCAGAGGTTCAGCCAAAGCTGCTTCCTGGTGCCAGTTCAGCCCAGGGGCCCAAAATCTAAATACAGGCATTCAAGGAGCATAAACGAAACCAAGATACAATGGACTTGGGTGTGGATCCTTGTTGGATGTCATCCTGTACATGACAATGTTAACCAGCATGTTAATGTGTGTTTCCTTATGCTGCATGCTTGTGCCATGGCTGCAGAGCCATTGCTTCTGTTGTTCATCCATAGAATGATCTTTACAGAGTGTATGTGTGTGTTCAGTGTTACTGTTCGATTTAAGCATGAGGTAGTTTGGAGACAGGGGGAGGGCAGTGAAATGAAGTGTTATGAGTCAGGGAGCCACTGCAGAAATACTATAAAGATATCCCTACTCAGAGGGAAAGGATCTGGTAACATTCATTGTATACTGGGGGTGCAGGGACAAATGTAATGGAAATGAACTTAATAAACATACACAAGAAAAGATACAGGATATAGTGAGACAAGGATCTGTTGTTAGATTTGGGATTTGTCAGCATGTGGCTGCCTAAGGGACTGACTCAGATTGAGAGAGAGGTGCTGTGACTGTGTGATCTGTTTCATGGGTTGGAGTGTCCAGGGCTCGAATTACACTTTGACTTCTGGGGCGATCTGCAAAAAAAAATTGGGCTGCCCATCAAAATGCCCTAATAAAATCAGAGACCCCCAAGTTATAATTTTCAAAACTTACAGGGGGCTCTCTTGTCTTATGGGCGGGGCTCAGCCCCCCCCCCGGAAGCTCCCCTGTAATTCAAATCCTGGGAGTGTCACTGAGCTAGTGGTGGACAGGTTGTACAAGTGGTGGACTGGTTGTACTCAACCTGGCGAGATGTGAGCAGTGGGGTACCCCAGGGCTCGGTCTTCGGGCCCACACTGTTTAACATCTTCATCAGTGACTTGGACGAGGGGTGGAAAGCACACTGTCCAAGTTTGCTGATGACACTAAGAAGTGGGGCAAGGTGGACACACTTGAAGGGAGAGAGAGGCTGCAACTAGATTTAGACAGACTACAAAAGTGGGCAGATGAGAATAGGATGGTGTTCAACATAGATAAATGCAGGATGCTGCACCTTGGGAGAAGGAATCCACAGCATAGATACAGGCTGGGGAGTTCCCCTCTTGAAAGCACAGAGGCGGAACGGGATCTTGGAGTCATTATTGACTCCTAGATGAACATGAGCCACCCCCAGCCCCCCGCCAGCAAGCCCAGCCATACCTTGTCATGCATCCAAAGATGCATCTCAAGTCGGTCCAGAGAGGTGATACGTCCTCTCTATGCGACTTTGGTCAGGCTGCAGTTGGAGTACTGCATCCAGTACTAGGTGCCGCACTTCAAAAGGGATGTGGGCAGCCTGGAGAGGGTTCAGAGGAGGGCCACCCACTTGGGGAGAGGGCAGCAGTACGGGCCCTACGAGGAGAGACTGAGGGACCTGAACCTGTTCAGCCTCAGCAAGAGGAGGCTGATGGGTGGCCTGGTGGCTGCCTACAGACTTATCAGGGGAGATTAACAACAAGTAGGTAGAGCCCTTTTCTCCCCAGCACCACCTGGGGTGACGAGGAACAATGGTAATAAGCTGATGGAAAATAGGTTTAGGTTAGAGATCAGAAGGCAATATCTTACAGTTGGGGTGGCCAAAATCTGGAACCAACTTCCCAGGGAAGTGGTCCTTGCCCCTACTTTGGTCAAATTCAAGAGGAGGTTGGACGATCACCTGTCTGGGATCTTGTGAACCCAGCATTCATTCCTGCCTGTGGCAGGGGGGCAGGGTGATCAGATCAGATGATCTGATCAGGTCCCTCCTGACCCTGCTACTATGAAACTAAGCTGTGTATTTTGCTGTAGATCAGAGAGAGAGAGAGAGAGAGAGAGTGTGTGTGTGTGTGTGTGTGTGTGTGTGTGTGTGTGGAGAGAGAGAGAGAGAGAGAAGTGTTGCCAACTCCAACAAGATTTTATTGCAAGTCTCACAATATGTATAGCTTTTCTTAAGGCCCAAGCCACTATCTAAAAACATATCCCTTATTTAATAAGATAACCCAGTAAGTTTCTAGCCTTTGCAGTTACAGAGAAAAGCTTAAAATATGAGAATTAAGCATACCTTAAAGACATAGAAACAAGAAAGCCATTAAGTCTTCCCCCCCCCACCATCAATATAGATTTCATAGATTTTCAGGGTCAGAAGGGACCTCAGCAGATCATCGAGTCCAACCCCCTACCCTGAGCAGAGTGCTGGGGTCAGATGACCCTAGCCAGGTTTTTGTCCAGTCTCTTCTTAAAGACCCCCAAGGTAGGGGAGAGCACCACCTCCCTTGGAAGCCCATTCCAGATTCTGATAAACCTTGCCTTAAAGAAGTTCTTTCTAATATCTAGTCTAAATCTGCTGTCTGTCAGTTTGTGGCTGTTGTTTCTAGTTACTCCAAGGGGTGCCCTGGTAAACAGAGTATCTCCTGTTCCTTGCTGTCCCTCCCCTCCCCCACTGCCACAAATTTGTAGATGGCCACCAAATCCCCTCAGCCTTCTCTTATGGAGGCTGAAGAGATCTAGGTCCCTCAACCTCTCTTCATAGGACCTATCCTGCAGGCCCCTAATCATATGAGTGACCCTCCTCTGGACCCTCTCATGGTTATCCACATCTCTCTTGAAGTGCAGCACCCAAAACTGGATGCAGTACTCCAGCTGCGGCCTTACCAGTGCTGCATAGAGGGAAAGTATCACCTCCCTAGACCTGTTCATGATGCACCTATTAATGCACGATAGAGTGCAGTTAGCTCTATTGATCATTTTGTCATATTCCCGACTCATGTTCATCTTTGAATTAACTATGACTCTGAGATCCCTTTCTGCTGCTGTGCTGCTTAGGAAGTCCTCCCCCAATCTGTATGTGTTGGTGATTCCTTTTCCCTAGGTCCAGTACTCTGCACTTATCCTCGTTAAACTGCATGCTATTTTGTTCTGCCTACTTTTCCAGCTTGTCCAGATCCACCTGAATCTACTCCCTGACCTCCAGTTTATCTGCTTTGCCCCATACTTTAGTGTGCTCTGCAAATTTGGACAGTGTGTTCACTACACCCTTGTCCAAATCGCTGATAAAGATGTTGAACAGCATTGGCCGAAGGACCAAGCCCTGGGGGGCTCCACTGCCCACATCCTTCCAGGTCAGTACTGGCCCGTCCACCAACACTCTGAGTGCATCCCACTAGCCAATTTGCCACCCACCTGACTGTGTAATCATCTAAGTCACAGTCACTCAGGGTTTTTTTTAATGAGAATGGGATGTGACACCGTATCAAAGGCTTTTTTAAAATCCAAGTATATGACGTCCACCTCGACTCCTGCGTCTAAGCAGTTTGTGACCTGGTTGTAAAAAGAAACAAGGTTTGTCAGGCAGGATCTACCTGCTATGAATCCATGCTGGTTGCCCTTCAGCATTACTTTTCCTGCTGGACTCACACAAATGTATTCCTTAATAATTTTTCAAAGGTTTTCCCAAAAATAGAGGAGAGACTAACTGATCTATAGTTACTTGGATTCTCCTTCTTCCCCTTTTTGAAAATAGGGGCCACACTGGCTCTTTTCCAGTCCCCTGGGACCTACCCTGAGCACCATGAGTGCTCAAACGGTTGTCAGTGGTTCTGCTATGACACCGGCCAGTTCCTTCAGCACCCCTTCCAAGTGCCCCTTCACTAGGTTGACACTAACCGTTGGTGCTCTGGTGTCCCCCCTTTGCCTGTCTGTAGTCCAGTTTGGTGATATGTCTTTATCCTCATTCAGGAATACTGATGCAAAAACTCATTGAAGAACTCAGCTTTGTCCCTCCTATCTGTGACTAATTGCCCTAGCCTGTCCTGTAGAGGTCCTATGTTACCCTGTGCCCTCTTTTTGCTCCCTACATACCTGAAAAAGGACTTTTTGTTGCCATCCTGAGTTCCATTGCTGCTTTGGCTTTTCTTACTAGCTCCTTGCAAGTGTGAGGCAGATAGGTATATTCCTCCTTGGTGGCTACCCCCTGCTTCCACAGTCTGTATGCCTCTTTTTTCATCCTTAGGCTATCCTGGATTTCCCTGCTCAGCTAAGAGGGTTTCCTGGCCCTCTTGTCACCCTTTATGTGCAATGGGATTGTCTCCTTTTATGCCTGAAGGATCATTCCTTTGAGGAATGACCACCCTTCCTGGACTCCCATCTCATCAAGTCTCTTGTCCTTCAGCGCCTCACTTACTAACCTCCTGAACTCATTGAAATTAGTCTTTTTGAAGTCCAGCACTTCTGCCCTACTTGTTATCTTTCCTACCTTTTGATGGATAGTGAATTCCAGCAACTGGTGGTCACTATCTCCTAGATTACCCTGTATCCACAGATCTCCCACCAGGTCGTCCCCCGTAGCAAACACTAAATCCAGTAAGGCATTTCCCCTAGTGGGAGCATATATTTCCTGCGTTAGGTGAAGGTCCTGTATGCAGATTAGGAACCTACATGAATGGTCGGATCTAGCTGACTGCACCTCCCAGCAGATGTCAAGGTAGTTAAAGTCACCCATGACAACCATATCCCTTGAGTGTACTGCCTCTGAGAGCTGCCTTGAGATATATGATTATTTTTTAAAAATCTGCTAGTCTTTTTGGGACCAGAGTCATGATTTTTGAACAATATTCTCTAGATGTCTGGCTGTTTGATAGTGATAATGATTGCATTAAACTGTCTTGCCAAGATAGGCACCTTAAACATAATGATATGCTTAGAGTACATAACACAATCATGTGTTTCCTTATTGTTTCATCTAACCCTAATTTAGAGGGACCCCGCATACTTCTAAAGTGCAAAGTGATTTCCGAGTCCATGTTCCAATCCTCTGTGCTTTCCTATCACAAGGTATCCCAGTGAACCCTGGTGGCAATAAGATCACTAAGGGCTGTGGACAATGATAGCATAGTAATCAAAGTTGGATGGTTGGAACCCAACTCAATTAGAACAGTGGAAGCTGGGGGGACTTCTTAGAGCTATGGGATAAATGTATCAGGCTGTCTCATTCAAATCTGGTTTAACTCCCAAATTAAATAATGGTTTAGGTCTTAATCTAAACTTGGGTGGAACTTGATAATGGCACTTCGGCTTATTTCAACCTTTGTTCAATTTTAGCTAACTACCCTGAAAGCCCTAACCCTACGTAGTATATCTATCCTATGAAAAATCTCATGCCCTCCAAGGATACTTTATTCTCAAGACACTTCACCCACTCATAAAACCTCATCCTAATCTTTTTTTTCATTTCTAGTTCTCTTCCTCAAACGATATATATTTGGATGACCCATGTGCAAACTCTATACCTACAATTGAGTGACTACAGCTCTGCAGAAAAGGATCTGGGGGTTACAGTGGACACTAAGCTGAGTATGAGCCAACAGTGTGCCCTTGTTGTGAAGAAGGCTAACGGCATACTAGGCTGCATTAGTAGGAATGTTACCAGCATATCAAGGGAAGCAATTATTCCCCTCTATTCAGTACTGGTGAGGCCACATCTGGAGTACTGTGTTCAGTTTGGGCCCCCCACTACAGAAAGGATGTGCACATATTGGAGAGGCCAACAGAGGGGAATGAAAATGGTTCAGGGCTGGGGCACACGACCTATGACGAGAGGCTGAGGGAACTGGGTTTATTTAGTCTGGAAAAGAGAAGACTGAGAGGGGATTTAATAACAGTCCTCAACTACCCAAAGGGTGGTTACAAAGATAATGTAGCTAGACTGTTCTCAGTGGTGAGAGATAACAGAACAAGGAGCAACAGTCTCAAGTTGCAGCAAGGAATGTTTAGATTAAATATTAGGAAAAACTTTCTCATGAGGAGGGTAGTAAAGCACTGGAAAAGGTTACCTAAAGAGGTTGTGGATCTCCATCCTTACAGATTTTTAAGACCAGGCTAGACAAAGCTTTGGCTGGGATGATCTAGATGGGGATGGTCCTGGTTTGGGCAGGGGGTTTGACTAGACCTCCTGAGGTCCCTTCCATTCCTAATTTTCTATGATTCTATGACTCTATGACTGTTCAGGTAAATGGTATAGGCTGTGGATAGAGACCATACCAAAATGATTATTGTTTGGGATAGCATTTATATTTTATTCCATCTATCTGGGAATTGGAATGTATGTACAAACCTAGTCACAATTTCTGCATTCTTTGCAAGATTTATACTTTAAAAATGTGCAAACCCCACACTCTCTGATACCCTTGACCTCTAAAATCATTCTCTGTGGCTCAAAGACTACATCTTGCCTCTGGGCTTCCCATACATGTCTCACAGCTTCTCATCTCTCTCTCTCAGGATAGTGGGATTGAGAAAAATAAACTAGGTCAAAAGTTAGTAGTTCCTGTTTTGAATGTCACAATTTTCTGCATGTGTTATTGAATGTAGCTCCATCTTTAATCTTGTAAAGTTGAAAATATAGTGAGCCCTAAGGAATTTATTTCCCTCACTCTAATGAGGAGTTGGAGAGGTTCCTGGTTGGTGTAGCTAGCAGGAAGCCCATCAGAAACTAGGAAATCAATGTCAATTAAAATAATTTCGGCTAATTGAGATTAGGTTATTAGTTCCATGTTGCAGTGAGCATGACAGGAAGCTTAACTGTATCCTTAATTATAAGAATTATGATGGAACATATATTATATTTATTTGATCTGTAAAGTGCCATGGATGTAAAAGGCACTGCATAAACGAAGTAAAATCTGCTGAAGAAAAAAATTGTTTCTTGTTCTCAGGAGTTTAAGATGTGATGCCTGTAGGTATCATCCTAAACAAATGCAAAATATAGAATGATTTATATATGTATTATACCAGAGACATCATGAAATAAGTATATATTCAGGAGTTTTTGAAGAAGGAGTTGGATGTTCATCTGTCATCCCATGACAGGCATTTTATATGGGATGATAGATAATATTGGATCAAAAATTATTTGACTCATCACCGGAGTTTAGCCCCAGTGAAACACAGCAGCTGTATGAACAACATAGCTAAGGCACACAGTGGGCTATTGCAGGAAGGGAAAATATTGTAGCCAATTGAAACTACAGGAAAAATTCAGAGGCAGAATGGAATTATCCAACATGGAATTCAGCCAGCACACCTGAACTAACACCCTGGAAAAGGTGCCAGGGCATCTCTCATGACTATCAGTGATCAAGGCATATAACATTGGAAAGATATCACCACCTGCAGTAGTAGTATCTAATACCAAAGCTCAGATGGCTAAATTCACCTCAGAGGAGTGTTCTTTATGGAATTCCTAGGGAGAGATCCATCACCTTATTTCATATTTAAAGATGGAAAAATAGCTGATTGATAAGCTGCTAGGAATTTTTCAGTATGATACAGAAAGCAAAACAGGAAGAATGGTAGGTAGCACTTTGACACACTGTTCTGGATGATATTGGATGACAGGCAGCACTCCAAATAATCCAAACACAAAACTTGACTTTCCTTTGTATCATTTTCCTTACTCAAGGTTTCTCTTGGTCATGGCAAGGTGAGAATGATAGGACTTTTTCAGTGAGGTTAAATAGAAGGGTTTATCTTTCCAGGGCCAGGAAGCCAGGAGAGCAGAATCTGCAGGGCAAAACCCCTTGCAGAGATCACGGAAGATTTCATCAATCAGCTGAGAAAAGAAAGTGATCCAAAGATTCTTGTCTAGGCCCTGAATGGAGCGAATCTGATAGGCACAATAAACGCTTGTGAAGAGGAGCTGGTCAAACTCTGCTAAAGTCAGAGGGGCCTCAGCCAGTGAAAAATGTCTCAGTTGCTGTTCAATCCTTGCTGGTGTCTTGGGAACTTGATGCTGGAAAATCTGGATCAGTCGCTTTGCTGGGCGCAGAGAAGCCAGCTCCTCATCCTGGAGCCAGATTGTCTCATTGGCTTCAATCTCCAGCCCTGCCCAGAGCAACTAGAAGAGAATGGCATCATGAAAACAGGAAGTCCAGGACAAACAACAGGCCCTTAGCAGAAGGTCTGCTACAAGGATTATGAGGTGACCCCTGATACTAGCAATGCTAGGCTTGCACAGAGTGGGTGGGACTCAGAGCTTCCCGAGCAATGGAATTTGCAAACATAATTGTTAAAAGTAAAGCCAGGTACATTGGAACAAACCAGTGGTTTTTTGGTTCTCACTCCTGCCTGTCTGCCTCCTCCTGCATTTTCCCTGTCCCCCCATGACTCCTACCAACTTCCTCCCACTCAGACCCTCCTCCCATAATTCTCCTCCCTGCCAAGGTGCTCAACCCCACCCCCATTCCCTTTTAGCCCAGTGCATTCTCATCATGGCTCCTACACAATCCTGCATCCCTCCCCAACTCCCCCTGCTCATCAACGCAGCCTCTCTACTGTCAGTAACCAAGGGCAGTTTAACTTAAACCTCATGCAGAGGAGTGGAAGCCAAGGTCATGGGCTAGGAGTGGTAACGCTACTACTACTAGGATTGGGAGCAGCTTGAAAACAACCCTTAAAATCCTGGGGGCACCACAATACCTGGTGAGTCCATGGCCCCTCTGGCCTCCTTGGTTAGTGTCTCTTCTTCTGTCTCCCACTGGGCCTCTTCTGCCCTCCCTCCCCAAGTTGCCCCCAGAAGCTCCTGTCTCCATTCCTTTCGTGCATCCCTCTTCCCTGTGCCCCAAAGCATCCCTCTCATATCCCATGCACTTCTGCACGGCTCAGATTTATTCCGCTTACCCCATAAACAGAGTGAAAGTATCTTTCATTGAAGCAAAAGTCAACCACTTAATGAGGTGGGAGAAGTGGAAGACTTGTCCCCAACAGGCAGGTTATCCAACTCTGAAGGTTTTTGCATCTTCCTCAGAGATGGGATCTTCCTTAGGCTAGTTTATCCTCATGGGTCTGATTGAGTATGGCAATGACTGTGCTGAGACAGCACTAGGGCATTTTGCCAAGATTCCTCAGTATGAAAGCATTGAGAACGAGATAAATATCTGGGATTTTTTTTTTTGGTTGGCAGGTTTCCTCCACCCCCCATGTGCACACAGACAGTTGCACTCTCTTATTCTTTCCCACCGGTCCCTGAATACGCAAACGACCTCTAGCATGATGTGTGCATCCTCCAGCTTGTTATGAAACTTGTTCACGTCAGCTTGGTCCTTACTGTGAAGTTGTTCACCTGGAAAATATTAAACAGCCACAGAGTTTGAGAGCGCAACATTTTGGCCCACCTTCCATCTTCTCTCTTATGTCTATCTTTGATATTTCTGAGGTGTTTATACCCCAGCACCAAATACAGGAACAGAGATTCTAACCACTGGATTTTGGAGAGCAGAACAGGATTTATCCAAGAGTTAAAACAGGCTCAAGGAAGTGAACGAAGAGTTTCAGAATGGTGATCCTGTGATTTCCAGAGGGTCTGATTCTGTAGCTGGGCTCTCTGGGAGAAAAAGCATCTGCTTCGATATACCTGTGGAGAAACCCTTCATGTGGAGAATTATAGCAGTCCCATTTTGACTGGGTAGGATCCTAAACCCACCAATTTTGCAGTGGCTTTTCTATTGCCCCCTAGTGTCAGACATTGATATTGTTCAATTAAGTCATTCACTATTGGAGCACCAGATAATTCCTGAGTGGATGTCACTGCTGGAAGTGGCTAAGGATGCCCGTGTGAGAGTTTCTAGCTACTGAAAAATAGCATCAAGCCAGGATTCTTAAATGTGTTCTTTCTCTTTTGACCTGTGTGCTAATACATCCAAGCTGCTTTTTTTCAAACTAACTCCTTCAGGCCACAAAGGAATAAGTAGAAGCAGGTTGCAATGGGCGGGCCAGTGCTGGAGAACAACCAGCATGAAACACAGACTCTCTGTGTGGAAGGAGGCAATGCTGACAGTAGGGAAGAGATGGGTAGGGAATGGGAGACTCCCTTGTCTTTTTATGGGATGAAGAAACATGTCCTGGTCTATTTGTCGGGGAACTAGGAGGCAAAAGTTATGCTGTGTAAACTAGGAGTAGGTATTCAGCATATCTGTCTTTGGTACCTCAGAAGTTAAAATTATTGGGTGAAGTAATAGACAGAAACGTAATTGAATTCATTGTTTGTGTAGTTGCTGCTACCAAAAACAGCTTCCAACTTTCCATTCTGGAGTAAAGCTCCCCAAGAGACTGCTGAGAGCCGTTTGAAGAAATAAGTGCTCTCCCCTCATTTCTCAACACAGCTGCAGGCTCCCTGATCAAAGCCAGATGTGGTTTTGGAATGTGAGCTGGGATTCTAGCTGCTGTTTTCCTTCTCCTCCATGCACCGTCTACTGGGACTTATAGCTCAGGTACACATACGCATCCTCTGAAAGCTGCTTGCTGGCCGTCCCCCTGCCAGCTCCCACCCCATACCCACCTGATTCTCCTGTCACCTTCTGCCTGTAGTTAAGATCAAAGTTATCAGTATTAGGAGGTATGCAGGAGCAAGAGTTCAGTGAACCCACTGAATAACCACCAAACTGCTCTAATGTTTTGAAAACCTGTTGCAGCATTAGTGTAGCAGGTAGAAAAAAACGTTAAGTCAAGCACAATAAAATGTAATGAGAAATGTAGGAAAATAATCTGCTCGATGTCCTTCTGGAATAGCAGCTTTTTCACAAGGGATCTGCAAGGAGCTTTCCCATTCAGCAACCTTATTATCACAGCACCTGGAAATTCCCTAGACAGTACTGAAAAAACCATGATCTTCAACAGCAACCCAAGACCTTTCCTGTACCACCAAGTCACAGCAGGTCAGTTGGTCGCATGCAAGCAGGCAATTGGGTCTCTCACATCGGGGTCAGTCAGGTATTTCATCAGAGATAATTCAATAGGTGACCAGCTGTAAAGTGTTAACTAATACTGTAAGGGGAGCAAAGGCATTGGGGTGGAGACAAATAAGCAGCATTTGTCATGAATAAGGCATCCTTAAGCCAGTTGGAAACAAACTCTGCCATCAGATGTCCCTCACTTTAAACACAGTTTACTCTAGAGCAAAGTTAATTTTCTGTCAACTGGAGACAAGTGTTTTTGTCAGTACAACAAACCCCCTCCTGGCTTCTGTGGAGAATCAGGTGAAACCCAGCATCAATTAAACTGCTCAACATTTGCAGATGCACTTCCTACCTGTCAGCCTCTGGGATCCAGCAGGCATGTAGAAGACCAAAGCTGTCCACAGCCAGACTTTGAGCTGCACCTGAATCATGAGGGCCATGCAGGTCAGGGTCCCCACCTCTTCAGTAGTTAAATGACTTGGGGGAAGTAAAAGCTGTTTGCTGTGGCGTTTCCACTTGCTTTCTCTGATCCCAGCAGTCTCTGCTGGAACAGATTCCCTTTCTCTCTAATTCCAGTCCTGGGATGGGCTGACTGTTGATTTGCTGTTCCCAAAGAGTATTTTTCGTCACATTCTAAACATTGAAAGTCTGTTGCTAGATTTTTGGCAGAATTTTTAAGCCTTTTTTCCCCCAAATTCTGATTTTACCACCAAAATAACTTTATAGGGAGTTCCTAATTGCACAGGATTTTCACAGTTAACTTATGTAACAAACGTAAATTTAATTTAATGCTCCTGAAAAGTGGGTGGAAGCTCCACCCCCCTGCCCTTTCTACCCCCCTCCTCCGAGCATTTCTCTTCAGCTCCTTGGCTTCCTTTGAAACTTTCCTTTTTAATGTTCTCAAATTTCCAAACTCAGTAAAAAAGAAAAATTCGGAAATGTCACAGAAAGATGGGGCTGGCAGCAGGCTCCATAGGATGATGAGAACAGCCAAGATATACAGGTGGAAAAAGGAAATATCACTCATTCAGTTCTAGAAAACCTCCTGGAGGGAGACCTCAGTATAATGGCCTGATAAATGATGAAGACCCAAGCCAATCAATTTTTGGCAGCTCACTGCCCTGGTGTGTGTTCTCTACATTACAATGAGCAAACCGGTATACAGTTGTACATATTAACCCTATCCAACTCCGTCCCCTGCTCTAACCTTATCTCTCCACCTCCATGCACCTGTTAGTTCAGACTCCCCACCTAAACTGTTTAAGACAGGAACTCTCTTTGTTCTACATTTCTACAATGAAGTGGAATGAAATCTTGGACTACAACCAAGCCTCCAAAGCACTGTGGTAATTCAAATATAAATTATTAATAATAATACAGTCCCTTCCAGGCTGAGTCCTGAGAATAGAAACTCTCCGGCAGGTTTGAAAAACAAGAGTTAGAACTGAAGAACACTCCTTCCCCAACAAGTACGGAGAATGCCACTCTACTGTAGGTGCTGTCACCGGGACTCAGGTACAGCATTGTAACCTGGCTCGCCAATGGTGTTGCAAGTGGTTGTACTTGGCTCTCTGCATATAGTGCAGGGCTATATGGAGCTGCAAGTCCCTAAGACTGACACCGGGAAGGAATATGGTCCCATTAATTTCAGAGGTGGACACCATATAATAGAAGAATTGGTGATCCACAAACAATCCAGTGACTTAGCAATCAGAAGGCACAGAATCTCTCTTGAGGAATCTATTCCTGCCTACATTTTGGCTATAAAAGAAGACTGTTTTTCTACAACAGACCTGGCTTTAAAGTCAGGCTCCCTTTCCTTTTTTGCTTCAGCTCCAGTATCTTTTTGTTACAGCCTTTCATTTAGAACAGGAAAGCTCTGTGGCCATGCTTTTGGACACATGAACAACATTGTAAGAGAGTGGTAGTCTCATGGACAATTCCCCTTCTCTTAAAAGACACCAAAATTGCCGGCATGGCCAATTACTGTTAAGAAAATATTTAGCAGTGGAGACAAAAAAATCAGCACCATGTGATGATGTAAGCACTATTAAATGTTCCACACACAACTGGTTGAGATCCATCAGGGGAAAAGGAAGCATATTTTAGTCACAGTGGGTGTGTCTACATGTGAATTTACATAGGCCTAAACTTAATGTGCCTTAGCCTAAGGCTCATTCAAATGATTTAGGCATGCGTTACATGTGCATGCCTTAAGACGCCTTGATGCAGCTCATTAGGTGAATGTGTGGACAGCCCCCACACACAGCAGCACCGGGGCCATGCTGGGAAAGTGGCCAAGGGCAGTGTGAACAATGAGCACATTCCTGGCCAGGGAGTGGACGAAGGTGCAAGGTGCACCCAAGAGCCACAAGTTCTGTCAGCAGCATGTGTGGAGCTGAGGCCACTGGACTGCAGTCAGAGGTGGCTTGGCTCCAAGTTAACAGATGGCATGCTCAAGGCCCCAGGCCGTGTCTAGCAACTTGAAACAGCTGCACCCAGTGCTGGACCTGGCCGTGGGGTATGGAGCCGCCCACTGGCACCCCAAAGCCTGCAGCGGCATAGCTGGGCGGTGCAGCCTAATGTCAGCCAAGATAGTGGGAGCCCCCAGTCCCCCCAGACATGATTGGCCTGGCCTTGACCAACGCTGGGAAGGCAGGAACACGGGAAGGAGGTCAGAGCCAGGGCCAGCAGTGGGGATGGAGCCAAGGTTATGGTGCCCTGAGCTGCTGCCAAGCGTCACCAAGAAGTGGCGGGTGCTGTTCTCCAAGGTGCAGACACTAGAGCTGGGGTGGCAGCTCCGGCAGCACCGATACTTGTTGATATGCCAACTGATTTAATAAATTTCACAGACATTAGGGCTGGAAGGGACCTCACAAGATCATTGGGTCCAGCCCCCTGCCCAAAGGGCAGGAAGTCAGTTAGGGTCAAAGGATCCCAGCAAGATAGGCATCCAAATGTTTCTTAAAAGAGTCCAGAGTAGGTGCTTACACCACCTCTGGAGGGAGTCTATTCCAGGCCTTGGGGGTTTGAACAGTAAAGAAGTTTTTCCTTATGTCCAGCCTAAAATGGTCTTGGAGGAGTTTGTGACCATTGAACCTTGTCATTGCTTGGGGTGCTCTAGTGAACAGGTGTTCCTCCAGATCCTGATGCACACCACTTAAGTACTTACAGGCTGCCATCAAGTCACCCCTGAACCTTCGCTTCTCCGGGCTGGAGTCCCATATCTCTCAGCCTCTCCTCACAGAGCCTGTTCTCTTGCCCTCTGATCATGCGTATGGCTCTCCTCTGGACTCTCTCAAGCTTCTCCACATCCTTTTAAAATTGTGGAGCCCAGAATTGGGTGCAGTACTCCAGCTGCGGCCTCACCAAGGCCAAGTACAATGGGAGGATGACATCCTGGGACTTGCTCAAGAAGCATCGATGGATGCAAGCCAAAGTTTTGTTCGCTTTAGTGACTGCAGTATCACACTGGAGGCTCATGTTCATTTTGTGGTCAATCATGACCCCCAAGTCTCTTTCGGCCATGGTGCAAGCAAGTGTAGCACTGCTG